AAGAGGCCCTTAGAGGATCTCTAGGATAATGATGCTCTAACTCACCTAATGTCACATCACATTCAAGATTATTAGTTGAAGTTCCTTTTCATCCAAAAAAATTAACCCCCCCAAAAACATAAATAATTGACGGGGTGACTGTGGTCGAGTGGTAAAGAAATAGAGTTCGAACGCTAACACGTTTTAGTTTTGATTCACTTGGTACGCAAAACAAAAAAAAAGGCAGTTGAAGCCACAATGAAAACAGAATTTTTAATGGTGTACAAGCTAGACGATGAAGGAAACGCAGTTCAGACACAAGACATGGGAGAGCTCGTCATGTTCCTCTCAATGTCTGAACCTTTCTGTGTCCCTTCTACTTCCTTTCTTGGGATACATACTAACAACGTTTACATCTTCGATTTTGATGAACACGGATTTGTGAATCTGGCTCGCATCCCTTTCGACATCAATAGTGCAAAAGGTCCACTTTTTTCCCCATATCATATTTTACCACAAGACATCGCCAATTAACTAGTTTGCAACTGTCTTTGTTTATGTTCTATATGAGATGTATTAAATGTATTCTCTTTGGAGAAAGTTTAATCATAATAACAGATCCTGATATGATTAGGTTACTCAAAATCAAAAACTGTTTATCTACTGCTACAGAACAGTTTTGTTTCAAAAGCCTTTAATGTCATCCTTCTCCATGTAGTCCAAGTTGCAACAAGTGTAAGTGTGTAACTAACGCTCAAATTTAAAGTACACAGAAGATATCCTAATTTTTTTTACATGTGATGTTATTATATATACAACACTCGTTTTAGTTTCACATATTCTATCAGCGCACAGTTCCTGATGTAAATATTATGATGTAATAATATAGAAAATAATTAAAATTTTGAAATAAAACTTTGATAAACCTATACAAATATTTTCTATGTGTCTAATTTTTTTTTCTCATCGATTTCATTCTATAATCAATCAAACAGTTTTCCTTAGGGTAACTATATGATCTATCCAAACATATTCAACTTCACTTACATAGTAGTAACTTTCAGTTTGAGCACGTTGTCCTTTAGCGAGGGAATCGGCTTTAACAATCATAGTACGATCGATAAGAGAGATCTTACACGCAGTAAACTCATTTCTGGTATATCCAATTGCATCTAATTCAAGTTCCATCAACGGCCACTCGGACTCTTCATGAATGATTTAACCAGCTGAGCGCAATCCGTTTCGAAGTGTATAACCGAATGAAAACCATGTGCTAAGACTTCATGCATTTATAGTAAAGCTTTTGCTTATGTATGCGTCAGTGATAGTGTTTGCGGCCATCCCTTTGCTCATGTTAACATATATACTTTGTTCTTTGGGTGAGAACAATATCAAGCTAAAACAATCAAGTGGTTAGTAATGAAAATAGTAACAATCAAGTAACGTTGATGGCTTTGGTTTCAGATTTTAAATGGAGCTAAGTTTAGAGTGATGAGTCGGATATCAAAACCGCACATTAAGGATTTTTGAAAAAAACTACTGTTAAAATAATTTCCACATAAATATAATTCACAAAGATATATTTGAATTATAAGAATACAGAAATATTAAAGTTAAGAATTTTGAATGTAACTAATGAAATTTATAGTATTATACTAACTAAAATATAAAGCTTAAGAAATTTATCAACTTTCAATACACCTATAATTTATTGGGAAAAAAATAAATGTACTAAGATATATAACCATAACTAGATGATTAAATTTATAAACAAATACAATTGAAAAAGTGATCTATATAGCAAAAAGATGATCAATTGATAAATATAATTATGTAATATTTCATTTTGATTGGTTTAACATAAAAATTAATCAAGCGATTTTGAATTATTACATAAAATATTTATTATTTAAATAACTCACATATTTCTAAAAAATTCTTGATAAAGAAGAATTATTTAAATAATTCACATAAACAACTTACACATATCTACTTTATTAAAATAGAAGTACGCATATAAAATAACTCTTATCCTTCCTATGCCATTTAAGTAATTAATATGCCTAATTTTTAGTTTTTGTTGTCTTTTCCTTATTTAGTGAAAATAAAAATTATTGTTTCATATAATCTAGCTTAATAAACTACACTATTATATGGATTAGTTAAGGAGAATATTTGTAAATTTGAATCCAACTTATTTGTAAAAATAAGCTTTTTATTTGATTGCCTTATTTCTAGGCAAACATTTTAATTCATGTTAAATTTTTAATATAATTTTTAGATACTCATGATCTTTTTTGGTCCGCATTCCTAAAATCTAGTCGCCAGTTTGCCTTAATTCTATGTTTAAATATTAGATATAATTGCAAAAATTCCAATATTCTTATGATAACGTGTATTCATTTATCATCAAAACAAAAACATGTGTTTTGATTCATACTATTAAAAAAATATGTTATGAGTTATTTCTTATGATAACGTGTATTCATTTTTTATTTGGACCACCTTTTAAAAATCGCTTGATTAATTTTGTATAAATATGTGAATTATTTAAATAATTCATTCATCAAGAATTATTTAAATTATTCTAAAAGAAACAAATCAAATAAACATTTCCGTATTTTCTCTGAAGTTGCATGTGACTAAAATATTTTCATTTTTTATTTATGATATATATATATATATATATATATATATATCTATATATATTTCATTTTTCATTAACCCAACCCTTTAGATATTTAATTCATTACGTATTTATTTGAATTATATATGTATATTTAATTCTTCATTTGAACAAACCTTGTAAGTATTTAATTAAATTTCTTTTTATTTAAAATAAAATGTATATTTAATGTTTAACAAAAACATGTAAATAAAATTAAGTTACTGCATATGAACTATAAAACTGTTGTATTTTAAAATGTTATATTAATAGATTAGTAATTTGGTAAATATTTAAATTATATACCACTAATCATGTAAAATAAATATTTATGTGTATATAAATTACCCGTACAGTTGTGCAAGTTAAAATCTAGTATAGCAATTAAAAGTAGTTTATCAATAATATATATTATTCATTAAAATTAAGAAAACATTTGTCATTTCTCAAGATTATAAAATAAATATATGAAAATAAAAATAATAATCTATATTATAGTGATGCAATTTTAAAACTCCTAAAAGAAAGTATAGGCCAAGATTCAAATTCGAGTTATTTATTCTTTAAACAAAGTCTTTACCACCAAACTATTATGGTTATTTGCCATTTTTTACGAGAACTAAACTACAATACTTAAGTTATTCTATAAATAAAATAAAATAATTAAAATGAGTCATGGTTAATCCTCGCGTAATTTCTGATTAATCGCTAATTTGTTAGACATTCATCATCCGTCCGACTAATACCTAACGTCATTCCGAGCAGGGCTTCAGACTACTTTAAACCCAGAGTGAATGTTTGTGTTTCCCTGAATTAGTTTCACTTACTCTACATTTACGTCTTCCATTTTTACTTTGTTAATTAGTTATAGACCACATTCGTAATACCTCTTGTATTTCGCTTAATATATACTCTATCTAAACAGAGGAATCCTTCATCTCTGATTTTCTCATTGATTCTTTTTTCAGTCAAATTTTATTACATCTTCTCGAAAATGACTTCATCGTCTCCTCCAGTTGCTAAAGTCATTGCATACCTCTCAATTTTCAATTATCTGTACCTTGGTCAAACTGCTCAATTAGTGGTTGCTCGCCGCCTCAATTTCTGGAATTTCCAGAACATTAAAAAATAACAAATTTATATGAATTAGAGGAGATTGAGAAAAACCTTTGACATTTAACAAGACTGCATAATGGACCCATTTTTACTCTGTTAATTAATAATGAACCATGCTCATAATACCTCATGCATTCCACTTAGTATATACTCTATTTAAACGGAGGAACTTTTCATCTCTGATTCTTCTTCCCGTCAAATTTTATAACATCTTCTCAAAACTAACTTCTTCTCCAGTTGTTAAAGTCTATGCATGCCTCTCAACTTTTGATTCTCTCTACCTTGGCCGACTGCTCAGTTTATGGTTGCTGGCCGACTCCGTTTCTAGGATTTCTAGAACATAAAAAGGCAAATTTATCAGAGTTAGAGAAGATTGAGAAGAATCTTTGGCAATTACAAGACCGCATACTAGTTGTCGATATATATGACTTCTTAGAACTTTATTAATTAATACGAAGAACTATCAAACGCCATATCGGTTTAGTTTATACATCAAACGTCAAAAATATAATAAAATTATAGTATTTACTATAAAGCAAACAGTAATAAATAAAAATAAATAGTAAATATCCTACCAAATAACTTGGCGTGGGGGGGGGGGAAGGCTATTTGTCTGCATTAATGGAAAGATTTCAGGCGAAGAAGATTGAACATCATCAATTCTCTCAATCTCTCTCAACTTTTTCTGCCTTAAAGAATTCTCATGTCTCTCTTTTTCATCAGTCGCCTCTGTGTTGGGGTGAGAAGATCCTCCTCTTTTCTCTTCTTTTCTCAACGGCTTCTCAACTTCCTTGCGGAAAACCTCTCTTTGTTCCATCAGATTTTGAATGTTTCGGGTTCTATCAGATACCCATTTAGTTTCGGGTTTGGTTAAGATAATACTCATAACCCAAAATAACATAAAACAAGATTCATTCGGTATTTATGTCAGGTTCAGATCGGCTCGGATAATATTTATGACCCAAAATACCAGAAAACAAGATTCATTCGGTATTTATGTCGGGTTCAGATAGGTTCGGATAATACTCATAACCCAAAATACCATAAAACAAGATCCATTCGGTATTTATGTCCGGTTCAGATTGGTTCAAATTAATTTTTATTGGATCGGATTCGGTTCGTGTTTTCGGATTAGGTTTATGCCCATACCAAATATTGAATTAGGGCAAATGATTAATATCACGAAGGAAAATGGACAAGAAAACTTGGTGGGCAAGGCTATTTCTGTGGATTAAATGAGATGTTTTATGTGGAGAAGATGGAACATCATCAACTCTTTGAGATCTCTTTGGGCGTTTTGCTTAACAAGATTAGATTCATGGCTCTCTTTCTCAGCCGCCTTGTGAAACCTGCGTTAGTGAGAAGATCCTCCTCTGTTTCTCTTCTTCTCTCTAACGGCTTCTCAACTTCCTTGCGGCAAACCCCTCCGTGTGCTATCATCGGCGCTACTTATTGTGGAAACGATATTGGAAGACTCATTGTTTCCTATGCTAATGAACCTCGTTCCTGTAATCAGCTGGAAAAGAGGGTACCTGTTGAGTTGGTGTATCCTCAATTATTTAATGATGGAAAAACGCAAACGATAGGGGCATCATATGGGTGGATAGCTACTCTCAACAAGGACGATGGAATCCTTCGTCTACAAGACGATCTGAACCTGTTGGCATCTGATACCGATCCTAAACGTATCCAGCTGCCTCCTCTTGTGACTATGCCACACTGCCAAACCAAAATCATCACCAATGTGTCAATGTCATCATCGTCTCCAGAGGACTTTATCGTGGCTGTCAAGTTCTCGGGACCTCAGCTCAGTTTTTGCAGACCAGCTGATAGTAAAAACGAGTGGGTGAACATCAGGATCGATAACCCCTGCTTCCACTCCTCCCGTGTCATGTTTTCCAAGAAAGACGACGTGTTTCATCTTCTTGGATCTGGAGGCCTCGAAATCGCGTCTGTGGGTTTTTGCACCAAGAGCGTGGTGGTCAGATGGTACAAAAAGACCAAAAGTGGCATAGCCAAAATGAAAACGAAAGCTCTAAAGTTGTTCAAGTTAGACGAGGAGGAAGGAAATGGTGATGAGCTTCTTCTGAGCGCGGCTGACCTGAATTTTTTGGATTCGTGCTGCAAGAGCGAGCACTTGGTGGAGTCACCAACTGGTGACACATTCTTGGTTGAGCAGTACAAGAAGAAAATCGTTGAAGAAGAAGGTGTTGCCCGACTGAAAACTGTAGTTTTGATGGTGTACAAGGTAGACGATGAAGGAAACACTGTCTACATTCAAGACATGGGAGATCTGACCATGTTCCTCTCAAATTCTGAACCTTTCTGTGTCCCTTCTTCTTCCTTTCCTGGTTTGCGTCGTAACTACATTCACCTCCTCGATGTTGATGAAGTCGTAGGTGCTGATGTAGCTCACATCCCCTTCTCCATGATTAGTGTAGGTGGTTCATTTTCTACCCCTTATTATTTCCCACCACAAGATATTCACAACTAGCTTTGTAATCTTCGCTGTGAGATCCTTCTCTTTGGAGTAAAACAGTGACTATATTAATTAATCTCATCTTATATGTTTTCAGTACTAGTCCATCTCATTGCGTACAACATTTCAAATGTACAACAATGATACACCATATAGTAAAGCGTCTATATCCAAGAAATAAATGAAATTGTTCAATATATTAAAAATAATTTAGTAAACACAGTCTCTAACTTTCTATTCTCTGTCACATACCAATGGAGAAAAGAGTTGTTAGAAACAACATTCTTATAAACCTTATATGTTCGTCTCTGTTTAACGAGAACCAGGAAACGGGGCCCACATTTGAGAGAAACAACGGGTTGCTTTATCTCTACGAAAACAAAGTATATATGACGTTCCGTTCTCAGTTAAGTCAACGCCGGCCGGTTAACGATAGTAAAGAGAAGATTCCGGTTAAGATTTTTTACTATTATACTAACTAAAATATTTTTTTTAAGAATACAGAAATATTAATGTTAAGAACTTTGAATGCAGCTAATGGAATTTCTAGTATTATACTAACTAAAATATTAAGCTTAAGAAATTTATCAACTTTAATACACCTATATTTTATTTGGGGAAAATAAATGCACTAAGATATATAATCATAATAGTTAGATGATTAGATTTATATAAAAAAACAATTGAAAAATGATCTATATAATTAAAAGATGATCAAATTAAAATATGTTATGTTTTTTTTTAATCATCGACTGAACATATTCATGTTGACTTTGTAAACCATACCGGTAACTCTTTATCCATATGAACGACAAAAGACATGCTAAGCTATCCGCCTTCAAATTTTGTGTTCGCGGTACATAAATGATCTCTGAGCTGAGGTGAAAATATGTTATGTAATATTTCATTTTGATTGGTTTAACATCTAACCATGAACAACTTACACATATATGACTAATGAAAGCCGTTGATCAATAATAAATATTATTCATTAAAATTAGAGAAAATTATTAAAATAGCACAGAAAAGCTGGTATATGATTAGAATAATATACATTCTCTAAAAACTACTAGAATATTTCCAGACGCCTAAGAAATTATAATAAAGACCCTTGTTTAATTTTGTTTTTGTTGAGATTAATTTTAATTATTAAATCCACATTACTAATTAGGCAATCCACATCACTAACTTTTGTGATCATTAGTGACACGGGAAAATCAACTGTCCCCATATTTCCGGTGAGTAGGAAAAAAAGCCATAACATCACAACTTTCTTTCTTCATCGTTAAACCCTAACCGTTACCCAAATCGTCTCGTCTAGAACTGTCTCTGATATCGTCTTCATCGGAAACGTCTTCTCCGTGAAAGTTTCTACGCAATCATCTTTGTCGCAATCGTATCTATGAAATCATCTTCTCCGGTATGTTGTGGCTTAGTCAAACTTATATTGTGACTGAGTTTGATTTACGATGTGGATGAGTTATATATTATGTTGTAACTGAGTTATTTTATATTGTGGTTGAGTTTGATGTACATTGTGATCTATTGCGACTGAGTAATAGATTATGGTGTGGTTGAGTTATTGATTATGTTGAGGCTAAGTTTGTTGTTTTATGGCTAAGTTATACTATTTTAGAAGAAATTGATCATGATGTGTTTGGTTTGCTGGTTGATGAGTCTGCAGATGTTTCTCATAAAGAGCAAATGGGTGTTGTTTTTCGATCTGTTGATAAAAGAGGAGCAATCAAAGAAAGATTTATTGGAGTTGTTCATGTAAAAGAAACGTCTTCTTTAACTCTGAAGTCTGCTATAGATGATTTGTTTATTAGATATGGGCTGAGCATCAAAATGGTGAGAGGGCAAGGTTATAATGGAGCTAGTAATATGAGAGGTGAGTTTAATGGGTTGAGATCATTGGTTGCTAGAGAAAACAATTCAACATATTATGTTCATTGTTTCGCTCATCAACTTCAACTAGTTGTGGTGGCAGTTGCAAAAAAGCACTTTGATGTTGCTGATTTTTTTTTTTTGATATGATTTCTACATTGTTAAATGCTGTTGGGGCTTCTTGTAAAAGACAAGATATGTTTCGAGAAATTCAGCGTGAAGATTTAGAAAAAAAAATCAAGAGTGGTGAAGTTAAGATTGGGACATGACAAAATCAAGAACATTCTTTACCAAGAACTGCAAATACTCGTTGGGGTTCTCATCACAAAATATTGTTGAGGTTGGAAGAATTATTTTCTACTACCATTAAAGTTTTTGATCCAAGAGGAAGGCATGGAAGATGCACAGAAACGTCAAGCATGTGGTATTCTCAAATATTCTCACACATTTGATTGTGTGTTCTATTTGCATCTAATGTTACTAATTTTGGGGCCACTGAAAATTTGTTATTGGCTTTGCAAGAGAAGGATCAAGATGTTTTAAACGCTATGTTACTGGTAGAATCTACTAAAAGAGAACTGCAAAAGCTTAGAGATGATGATTGGGATATGCTTATGGATAAAGTAACTTCGTTTTGTAAGAAACATGATGCTGGAATGCTCATCATGGAAAAAGATTTTGTTAATACAAGTAGGCCGAGAAAGAGAAGCAGCATAACCAATATGCATCATTATAAGGTCAATTGTTTCTACAAAGTTCTAGATTTACAGATTCAAGAGTTCAATGATCGTTTTACAGAGGTAACCACTGATCTACTTATTTGTATGGCTTCTTTAAGCCCGGTTGATTCATTTCATGGGTTTGACAAAGAGAAGTTGATGAGGTTAGCTAAGTTATATCTAGATGATTTTAGCTATGGTGAGATTTTATCTCTAGAGTAGCAGCTTAAATCTATATCGATAATATTCGCAGAGATGAAAGGTTTAAGAGCGTGGAGAATCTTGAAGATCTTTCTTGTTTGATGGTGAAAACTCAAAAGCATATTGCACATCCTTTGGTTTATAGGCTTTTAAAGTTAGTTCTAACTTTACCGGTTGCAACAGCAAGTGTTGAAAGATGTTTTTCAGCTATGAAATTGGTGAAGACAGCTGCAGGTAACCAAATTGGAGATCAGTTTCTAAGTAATTGTATGGTTTACTTTATTGAAAGGAGTTGCTTAACTCGGTTTCAGATGAGAAGGTGATACAAAGATTTCAAAGATTGAGTGAACGTAAAGTTGTTTTGTAAGAATTGTTTTTATCATATTTTGGTGGAGTTTTTTTAGTTGAAAACTTAACGAAACAATATTTTTTATTTTAATAAATTATATGTTATATTTTTGTCCCCGGATCCGCCACCTGAGAGACCCACTTCAATGTCGCTGCAGAATCACTGGTGTTAGTGGTGGGTTTAGAGGTCTACTAGAAAGAAGTAGAAGAAGAAAACTAAAGGTGTTAACTTTTTCACAAACACTTCAACAAATAAAGGTCTTTCTTAGATTAGTGAGAACCATATCCAAATTTTTTCCTTTACCTCTCTTTTTCTTCTTGTTAGCTTTAGACTGAGAAGATGGATTCTGCGGCGCATTTTAGCAATGAGAGGGTTCTCAGAGTGTTTCTGGCCTTGTTCTGCTTTTGGGGATTGCTCTCTCTAACATGCGCAGCTGGGAGGCTCAGTGTCTCAAGTCAGAATTTCGAAGTGCACAAACACTTGAAACGATTGAATAAACCAGCCGTTAAGAGCATTCAGGTTTTTAACTTTTACTTTCATGCAAGCTCTTAGTTGTTTAGCTTGTCTCAGCTATGGATTCTTGGTGCTTCTTTTGGTCAAGATCTCAATAGCATTGAAGCTGGCTGGCAGGTAATTTTTTAACTTTTTTTAATTTACGTTACATCTTTAGCTTCTTTGACATATATATTTACACAAATCAGGTTAGTCCGGATCTTTATGGTGATAACAATACACGACTGTTCACATACTGGACTGTAAGCTCCAAAACCTGTTTAACTTTTCTTCTGTTTTATGTTGATAAGGTTTCATACTTTTAATTGTTTTCTCTATTTTGAACAAAAACAATAGAGTGATGCTTATCAAGCTGCTGGCTGCTACAATCTCCTTTGTTCTGGTTTTATACAAGTCAACAGTCAAATAGCAATGGGAGCAAGTATATCTCCAGTATCTGGCTTCCATAACCCGCAATACGATATCAACATTACCATTTGGAAGGTAAGAAACCAGTTTCCATTTGTTAAACCACTCTCAGTAGTATTAAAGAAGCTCTTCTGGAGAACCATTTCTTTTGTAGGATCCGAAAGAAGGGCACTGGTGGATGCAGTTTGGGGACGGGTATGTGTTGGGATACTGGCCAAGCTTTTTGTTCTCATACTTAGCAGACAGTGCATCCATAGTGGAATGGGGTGGAGAAGTGGTGAACATGGAAGAAGATGGTCACCACACGACCACTGAAATGGAAAGTGGTCAGTTTCCTGATGCAGGGTTCTCTAAAGCAAGTTATTTTCGGAATATTCAAGTTGTTGATAGCTCTAATAATCTGAAAGAGCCAAAAGGGCTAACACTTTGACTGAGAAGTCGAATTGCTATGATGTTGAGGTTAGTAAGAATGATGACTGGGGGCATTACTTTTACTACGGAGGCCCTGAAAGAAATCCTAATTATCAGTAGATGATGAACAGAAGATGATGAAGATGTTGAGGTTAGTAAGAATGATGACTGGGGGCATTACTTTTTTTTTGTTGCATTTCTTATGCAAAAAAGAGATTTTCTGTTAAGCTAAATTTTTATTAAGTTGGAAGCCCATCTAGCTTAATATGGTATCAGAGCAAAGAGTGACAATCTTTGTAACGAGTGAAATGGTCAACAAAAATAACAAAATATTTGTAACTATCAACAGAGAGGACTGGTGAAGTCCAGACATCTGAGAAAATAACTTGAAGAGGAGCATTTGAAGTAATAGAAGATACTGAAAACGGAAGTTTATGACTCTTATTAATTGAACAAGAATTGCAAGTAAAAGTAAAAGAAAACACTGAAGAAGACGATAAAGGTAAAGAAAACCGAGAAACCATATGACGCAAAGTTTGACTGTTTGGATGACCTAGGCGTGTATGCCAATCAGAAAGAGATGACTTAAAACAGAGAAAAGCTGAAGGAGAATTTGAGACTGGAAGAGAATGCATCGGCCACTCATACACTCCATCACTGGCTTTGCCGGTTAGAAGTGTTCTGTCCGTGTACAGATCCTTCACCTAAAAGTCAAAAGGACAAAGTTGCACCATCACATTATTAGTTTTACACAGTTTATTCACAGAATAAAGCTTCTTTTCCATCTCAGGTACACAAAGAACATTAGTCTATTGTGGAAGATATACTTTGATAAGTTTTTCTGTAGAAAAGTTTGTTTGAACAAAACAAGTTTCTCTGTAGTTTTGTTTGAACAAAACAAGTTTCTCTGTAGTTTGTCAGTTGTGAAAGAGAGAATCTGTAAGTCTTATCTCTTGTACCCTCCACGACAGAATGGTTGCATACCGTTGGATTGTTTTAGTGTAACGCCACCACTGTCCACGGGTTCTTACGCTAGCTCATTCATTCGATCCGTGGACTTACTGTGATGGTGCACTATATTTTTTGAAAACTAAGAAGGTTTATTTATTAATTTTTTTAACTTTCACATGATTTTTCTTGATGTTTTGACATCATTCATACAATATCGTGAATTACTTTCTAATAAATCATTTATAGTTTGACTAATTTAACTCACATACATTTTACTCTGAATGTGTATTCAAAAAAGTAAATAGAATCTCTATAAATTAATAATTTCTATAAATTAATAATTTTTGTCGGTCCTAATTTAGGTCTGTTCAAAATTTGACACAAATCGATAAAATAATAAGGTAATATTTTTTTTAGAAAACTCTATGTAAATATATGGTCCCATCAAAATTATAAATTAATAATTATATGTATACATATTTTATATAAATAAGAACATATCATTATATTATTTGTTTTATATTCACAATAGAACTAGGTGATTTTCCCGTGCTCATGCACGGGTATAAATATTTTTAAAGTAAATATATGATAATGATTGATTATTTATTTAATTTAATTCAATTAATTTATAATTTCTATGTATCATTTATATAATAATATTATATTACTTTAATTATACTTTAATTTTATATATATTATATCTACTCGATTTTGTTTTTTTTTACGGTTGATTTAGTTATCATTTAGAAAAATTGAATTGCATCTCTGAATTCACCTGTAATATTTTAAAATATATTAATTTTTATTAATTACATATTTGCATATAGTGGGTGTTGTCTTAGATATGTAAATATATTTTTAATAAAATTATGTATAACTTAAGATATATTGTGCTTAGAATGAATTAAAAATTAACTAAAGTGTCTGATTCCAAAATATGTAAATTAATATAATGATAATATTCTAAAGTCTCATGCCTATATATAAATTTTACAAAAGAACTAAAATTGTAAGAGTTGGTTAATATTTATTTTCATTTGTTAATATGTTTTGTGTTATTCTATGGTCAATAAAAGGCTACATGCATAAGTAGTTGATATATTTTTGGGAACCTCATAAACACATATCAATATTTACAATAATTAAAATATTTATAAATTCTAAATTTATGCTTTAGATTTATTGAATGTAAACTGAAATTTATTTTAAATAATCTTAAAATTGGAAATTCAGATTTGCTTTGGTATTTTGATTATGGTTATATTTAGTTTCACAAACATAAAAATTTAAAATTTAAAATTAAATTTAATATTAAGAAAAAATATAATTTTAATAATGATAAAATTATTTGATCAAGCGATGTTTATTGTTAAATTTATTTTTTATTTTTTAATATCTCTTAAAAATAAGCACTACATAAAATTGTGATTGTATTTGAAAATAATATTATATAAGTAAAATATAATTTATAGATAATTTTCTGTAGTTGAAAGATATTAGAGTCAACTAAATATATTAAAAATAAATAAAAAAATTCAATAATACTAATTATATAATATTTTATTACTCTAAAAGTATATTTTATGTTATTTAAAAATATTTTTAAATGTATTATTATTATTTTGTGAACTTTCCTTTTTTATGAAATCATATATATATACATATATTTTTCGTTTTCAATTTGTTTTTATGACTTTATAAAAAATTTCCTTTTTATTACATATATTTTTGGAAATTTTTGAAAAGGAAACTAAATAAAAGAATTAATAATACAATTTTAACTATTTTTAATTCATTAAGGGTATCAATGTAATCAACCATCGTGAAAGTGAATGTGAGAGCGACACATAGGAAACTGACTTCTCAAATAATATTATAGAGATTGTTTTTATATTTTCTTAACACTTGTTATATTTTTGATGAGACTTGGTAATATTATGTTTAAAACCACATTTAGATTCTATGCAATATATATTATATACACAAAATAATATAATAAAATTGATATAAATGTCATTTTAAAAAAAAAATAATTAATAGTTATACACTAAAATAAAATATTTTTCTTATTTTAGAATAAATTTATTTTAAAACAAAAATTTAAATAGGAAACTTTTTTTAAATTAATATCTCTATATATTAATAAAATTTTAAAATCCCAACATTATTAATTTATATAAATTTTACTGTACACTTACAGATATAGGGAATCAAATCAACTTTTTAAACCTTTCACTATATAGAATACTATATTTTGAGTATTTCATTTGTTGCATTTGCTAATGAAATGACGGAGGTTTTAATCATTGTACCAAACTTTTCTTTTGAACTTCATTGTACCAAACTAATTAAATTCTATTTTTTCTAACAAACTAATTACATTCTATTTATCAATGAAATTGCAGAGTTTAGCATTTCAACTACAAAGTGGATAAAAATGATTAACTACAAATCTCGTGACAAAAAAAAGAAGAGATTTTTATGACATTACATAAAGGAAAAAGCATAAGGGAAAATGATAAATTAAGCGGTTAGCTTTTATAAGTGGCTAATAATCAACTAACCTGATCTAAATTATTCAGTCAGAACTCAGAAGTAAGAAAACAAAGTTGTAAATAAAGTAAATAAATTCAACTAATGCAAAATGACAGTATAATCATTTTAATCCGAGATTTAAATGCTAAACTATGATGCATGTTAGATTGTCTAGATATAAATAAACTTATATAGTCTATAATATTATTTTAAATTTGTAAATCTATCATAAATATAAAGGTATAACACAAAAGATTATTATTCGACTGGATGACCTCTGATCATTGACAAAGGTCACCACGAAATACTTATGCGTTATGATAATATACATAATTAAAAGTTTCAATAATTACTTAATAATGTTGGAATTATATTGATATGCTGAATAATAGACGAAATTTTGATACGCCAAATGCAATATCAAAATCGATTAGTAACAAAAAATAGAAAAAAATGGAAATAAAAGAGGAAAAGAGAGAACAATAATTTGGAGAAATTATGGGTTAGGCCAAATCATGTTACTTAGCACATGGAACCATCATCTATTGCCCCATCTTCTTTAGGTATTAAGAAACCGTTAAACAGCTCATTGCTTCCCTCATATCTACTCATTTCACACACACACACAAAGAAAAAGATATATATTAATTAGGACAATACATGGCTAATCTTGGCATATCGTAATAAACACATTTGTTTCGGACCCTCTACAATTTTAGTGATCAATTCTTGTTGTTCATTCAATTTTAAAATTGAGTATATATGCGTGTATATTAATCATTTGGTAACTATTTCGAGCTTTGTGAATTTTGGGGCTGACTTTGGGACAATATATGAGTGTCCTTTCTTCTCCATCTTCTTGCAACTTTTATTTTTAGCTTAAATTAAATGTGGAATTGAGAGTTTCAATTGTTGTAACCGATCCATTTACATAATCCAAGAAAATTGATTAAAAACGAAAACCTTTTACGTGTCATAAATCAATTCCACAGTCCAACATAACACATTTCTTATACAGTTAAATTAAAATTGGTCGTGGTACATAGTATAAAGTATGGAAACCATTAAAAATAATTTATTTAACGCGTTGGTGTAAAGTGACATGTGCACACTTGGCATTTCATGCGTACTCGCGTATATAAACACTAACAAATGTAATTCACAAGTCACAAATAACAACAAACACCAAAACCCTTTTTTCCTTCTCTTCATCTGCTCTCTCTGAGTCTCAAATCCAAAATACTAACAATGGAGGCAATGAAGATGAAGTTTTTCGTAGCGGTTTTGGTTGCAATGATAGCGTTATCTGCGGTTCAACAGTCGGCTGCAGCGGTTGACGCTCCGGCCCCGAGCCCTACCTCCGATGCTTCATCGTTCATCCCTACTTTCTTCGGCTCCGTTGCGGTTTTGGCCTTTGGATTACTCTTTTAAAAAGCTCTTTTTCTTATTATATTTTAGGTCATTTTTTAAGTGATCTGGTCTTTGTTTGTTTCTCGTTGAGTTCATCTGTTCATGTCTTGAGTTTGATCTATTTCTATCCATGTAACGTTATTGAAATCGACTCATCCTATAATATCAGTAATAATTATTTTTCCTGTTTGCTATAAACATTTTAGTTAAAAATCTTAAAAGGTATGTATGTATATGTATGACGCAACAAAAAACCGAGAAATTTGCATACGGTTAAGCTGGATCTAATAATCTGATATCTTTATAACTTGGGTTTGTTTAGTGTCTTTTGTTCAACATTGGTTAGGTCATTTTGAACAAAAGTAAATTGTTTGGGTTATCGACCTTAAGTCGTATACTAAATTCGAATCTTAGAATAAAAGAAATTTAAAGCTGCTAAAGATGCTTCCTTCCTTAAAGTGAGAGCGGACAAAAAGCAAACACCTTTTAAAGTTTTCACATGGCTTATAGGATTTGAAAGAATTTAATTTGTTTGGTTACTATACAACCCACGTTTTTAACAGTATTAGTGTCACTTGATTAAGTACCAATTTATGGCCCATTAAACCCATTATCGTACGTTTATTTGTATTAGCGCAACTTGGGCTTCTAATTTGTCAATGATGCACGAATTGTGATTATCGAAACGTTTGGTTGTTTTTAGCTTGCGTCGTGGGTTTCTATGGTGTTTACTTGTTGCATAAGTTACCCGACTGAAATAATTGTAGTCACAATTAACCGAGTCTCGTCCATTGGTTGCTGGGAACCGGTGGTTGTTCTCAATTTGACTGTCTAGATTACCAAAAATAAAAAGACAGTACAACCACCGGTTGGGATTAGTTTGGCAAACTAAAACACACTGTAAACTGCAAAAAAACTCTGTTTTGATTTTTACCATATTGTCTATCAATTGATAAAAGCCTCTTTTATTTTGTAGTTTGTCATGCTAATTGAGTGCATGCTTGAGAAGTTTCCTGACCGGAGCATGCGATAAAGCTAACCGTTGTACAATTGCAACCTAGGCACTTGCGCATGTTTTATTTTTGAAGAAGCAACGCAACTAGCTTTCGTCTAAAATAAAACCTTGATTTCTTCTAACTTGAGATGTGATGGAACTGACATTTTATCTACTCTATTAAAATATCGTCACTATTTTAATCTACTACAAAGAAGTCATATAGGACCATTTCATTAATTACTTAATATAACATATTAAATTATTTAGGTTAATCAATCAAATATATATCCTGCTGAAAATAATAGATTTACATTTTATTTTTAGTTATAACAGAATCGGTTGAGAGAAAAACTAACAAAATCTTACTAAAAATTTAAATATTTTATTATTAAATAATATAATAATGCATTTCGTAATTAATAATATCATACTATTATACATTAATATTAATTAAAATTTCACTATAATAACAAAAAAAGAATCCTATAATATTTTATAAATTTTAAAGTAAAAGATTAAAGAATATTATATATTAATAATGTTGAATAAAAACCTACACCAATTAGATTATAAATTTACACAATATATAACATAAAAATATAAATTATATATTTAAAATATTTACATTAATATTAAATAAATTATTTAAAATGAAAAATATACCCGCACGAATGCGCATGTAAAAACTCTAGTTTTAAAAAAAAAAATCACAATTTACATTTAATTCAGATCATGTCTTCATGGAGAAGCCCACAGAAAGGTTTGGTCCGTGTACATGTAAGAAACCAATTTTTTTTTTTGAATGAGATCTCTTTCTACTTCTACACCTTGGATTTGTATGTATCAAATTGTTACCGGATATATCGTCCAGTACCACTACAAATAATCCGAAACCACAACAAATTTCACTCAAATCCAAATTGTCAGGTAAAGTCTTAATCTGTTTTCTTCTTGCATTATTATACCAATCAATGGTCTAATCTTCTTAACCAATGTTTCCATTGTAAAAACTTTCCCCAGTTATTGGTTTTGTTGTGCGGAAATGCTTCCACCGCACTCCGTTTATAAGCTTTTGATACATACAAACTAAACAGAGCCAAAGACCAAAAAGGGTTTACAAACAAAGTGTATTTAGCTTTTCTACACATTTAAGACACTAGAATCTTTCTTACAGATAAAAAAATTCAAGGTGGAGATGTTTTGTGTTTGGTTATGTTACTGAAACCGATTCACCGAATCGTAAAAAGGATTTAAAAAAAAAAAAAAAAAACTAGTGTTCTTCTTCAGATCTAAAGTCTTCTTCTGGCTAGACAAGAGAGAACAGAAGAAGGTGTTCTTGTGGCTTTCTTGGAGATTGTAGCTTTTGGGTTATAAACCCTTTTGTAGCTTTGTTCTATTATTCCTCCAGTGCTCTTGCTTGCCTTTCTTCTTGTTCCATTATTCCTATTTTTAAAACCTTTCTTCATAAGATCTTCAAGGCTTGTAACATTTGCTAGTGATGTGAATGATTGAGATTTTCCTTCATAAAACTTTGACAATCCCCTCCTGTCAAAAAGATTAAACAACTTTTGTTAGCAAACAAATATCAATAAAAACAGATCATCTTTGAGATCTTGATATGAGAAAATCTTCAGATCCATTCATCATTAGGTACTAAACCCTAAATCAATTGCTTCAGTAAGAAGTTTCTAAGAGATGAATATGGTCAAAGAAATGTATTCTTACTTGATTGGAAGGTGTGACATAAGGTCAGAGAGATCTTCAAGAGGTCCATTTGAAGAAGATGAAGAAACATCATCATCATCATCCTCCTCTGTTAAATCAGATGAAGAACACATGGAAGATAATGAACAAGATGAACAATCATCTTCGGAGAATGTTTTAGCTTCTAATATCGATCTTGAAACTCCTTTAACAAGGTTTTCTTCTTCTTCTTCTGTCCTACTTGAATCTTGGTAGATCATGTTACCCATTTGCTTCAGATTTAGATTCATCTTTTCAACAGAAATCAAGAAAAACGAATTCTTGAAACAGAACAAGAGAGTTGTGTGTTGTTGTTCTACAATTGGGAACACAGAAACATGAGTTCTGTTTGGAGAAGATATACATGGACATTTATATATATGGATATGTGAAGAGGTTCCAGCTATATTTTTAAAAAAGAAAAAGGATAAATATATGTGTGGGTATTACTTACGTGCAAGCCGTGGATAACGTTGACCCTTCTATTTAATTTCACTTTTTGTCTCAAAATATTTCTTTCATCTTTTGTTATTATTGTTATCTATCTATCTAATCCATTGCATATGATCATTGCTATTATTGTGTTTTTTGATTTTGCGGTTCTCATTCTATGGGGCCGTCACTCTCATTTCCCGCTTTTTGTTTTTGTAACTCCCTTTTTCTTTAATTTGTCATTTATGAAATAATATTCCTTTTTTGTATCATCACAATAATTAAAAACGATGAAAAACTAGAAAAATATTAAATACCAAGAACCATGAATCTTTGTAGTGTAACCGATGCTCATAAGATAACTATAAGCATTTACCCCAAAAATAAATAATAGATACAGTACGAGAGATTAGGTCTAAAGCTTGCAGAAAGGATAAAATATTAGAAGTCGGTTTTGTAATTAAATAGTAAGATTTATTTGATAAGATAGTATATGGTTTAGATTTGTTTAGGAGTTTTCAATTCCACATGGTAGTGTGTTAGCAGAAGAGGATAAGACCCATTCTCTAAAACATATCCGTATCATGTCCTCGTCACCACTATCGTTACCTTTTTAAAAATTTATTTATCTGATTTAATGTTAATTGGACCATTTTTTTTAGTTCCCATCACTAGTAACGACTTTACCTTAATTTTCAGTATAAAATAGGATATACCAAAGCTCTATCCTCTAAATATTTTATAGAATATTGACATTTTATGTACATATGGGTTTACGCTAATTCCTCAAAACAAGAATCTTGTTCGGCTTCAGACAGCTTTTTCCCCGACATATGAAGAAAACATATATTTTTTTTTTCTTGAAATATTGATTTGGAGAATCTAGAGGATAATATCAACTATAAGTTTCAAATGATTATATAATGAATACTGATTGAAAACGTTGAAAAGGTGAAATATTAATTTCATAACTGAATCTTCAGGTTTGGAATTCGTAAATATGTGACAAGGTAAATCAATTCTGATGTACACATATACATATCAAAAATTATAGCTGCTACACTTTAAAGTTTGCTTTCGCTTTTTGAACAAATATATTTTTTGGTAAAATAGAACATATATATTTTACCAAATATTTCATTGTTGTTGTAAAAAAGTGAAAAAAAATTAGCAGCAAAGATAGTGGAAAATGAGCTCACTTTTCACTTTTATTTTGAAACTCCAATATTCTATCAGATTACTTCTCAAGGAAATCATAAATAAAACTACAAAAGCTCCAGTATTCACCTGTTTTTAATACAGAAGTTTGATAAAAATCTAGCTAATAAAAGAACAACCAAAGTTTAAATATCTACTGACCAAAAAACCATGAACAAAATAGCTGACATTATAATATTTTCTTTTTGTAAAAGTGAGTGAATAGCTTGGATATCTTGCGAGTAATAGCCTGAAAGTCCATTTTTCAATATTATCCCTAAATATAAACAGATCTCTTTGTTAATTACATTAATATCTTCATCATGAATTGCCACTATTCTTCTCTGTTTCTCTACCTTTATTCAGACAGTTCGGCTCTTTCGTTGTGGCCTTTAGTTTTTTTTTATCAATAAGGGAAGAAATTAAATCGAGAGGATAACAGAAACCTGTCAGACTTAAAAATTGAGGAATATTGGAAAAGTTTAAATTTAGGATAAGGAAATTTTACTTTTATTGATTACGACTGTTTTTAACCCTCAAAATTTTTAAAATACATATATTTAACAAATCGTGAGACATAATTGAACCAGGGTTCTTTTCTTCTTGTTTTGCATCCCAAGTTTCCCGTTCAGGTGAATTCGAGACGAACTTAGGGTTCTTCAAAATCGGGAGTTATTCTCAATCAGACGATAAAAAAATGGTGGAACCGAGCATCAATGAGTTGTCAGATGACTTGATCTTGAAGATATTTTCATTGCTTCCGATGTTTATCTTCTATCAAAACGGTGGGAGAATCCTTGGAAACTGATGTCGGATGTCATGTTTGATGATGCTGATGAATCATATGAGATTTTAGTGACTTTTATGAGATTTGTTTACGGATCCTTGTTGTCTAACGATCACTAAGTTCCAGAGAGACTGCACTTCAAGCTTAGCCAGAACTATTCAGCTTCAGACATCAGTCTTTGAGTTAACATCGCAGTTAATCGATCAGTGAGAAACCTGAAAATCCATATGTTTGGGAAAGCCCTAGAATTGCCGAGTTGCTTGAGTGCTTGCGTAACCTTAAAGTTAGTACTCCATGCAGTAACCTCGTTTTCGTTTGCTATCCCTCAAAAGTCTGCACCTTCTATCTGTTAGCTCCTGGCGATGAAACTATTGTAAGTCTTTTACAAGTTGTCCGGTTCTTGAATATTTGGTTGTAAATCAAACCAAAAATGAAAATGTGAAGTTCAAGGTTGTTCCGCTTTGGTTTTGTTTGCCATCACTCAAGAATTTGCACCTTTTGTCGGTTAAATTCTCCGGAGATGAATCTCTTGCAAAGCTTCTAGAAAGTTGTGAGGTTCTTGATAATTTGGTTGTAAACCGAACCAAGATGACAATGTTATGATTTTTAATATCTATGTGCCTTCTTTGAGGAGCTTATCTGTTGATAATTTCAAAGGGAAAAGCGCCTACGTTGAGGAGAATGATTGGTTTGTGATAAAACGCTCCTTATTTGGAGAAATTGAAGTTTAAAAGATACATTCGGTAAGTTTCTAAAGTTTACGTATACCAAAGGTGATCAAGGCGAATATTCAGGTTATCTGTGGCCAATCTGAGAATGTTATAAGATCTCTCAGCTCAATCCAACACATCTCTATGTTCTTTAACTTCAGAGGTAAACAGTTTCTGTCTAGAATTCTCCTTTTATGTTTTAGTATTCTCATTACAGTATATAATATATAGTTTTTTTTGATAAAATATATATATATATATATATATATATTTCTCCTTTTCTATATAATATATAGTTCAAATGCAGAATCCATATCCTAGTGGCACTGTCTTGAACATCTAGAGCTATGTACATGTTCTGCGGGATGGGCGAATCTACTTGCGTCTATACTCAATAACGCTCTTAGACTTCGATCTATCAAGCTTAAGTCGGTATGATGTTTGCAACTTTTTTTAGGTTACTCGAAAGGGAAAAAAAAAACAGAAACACATTTATTTTTCACCTCGTCATATTTATAGCACGTTAACATGTAGCAGAATGACGTTATTAATAGCTTTATATTTTGTTTGAAATATAATCGTTAAAATAGATTTTATCATTCAATCATTTTAGTGTTTCCTGTTTTTTGTAATGATCTATAATACTAACACGCATAATGTTTCTCTTATATTCGTCTCAGCAACATAGTGCCCGTTACAATGATCGGATGAACCTATGGAACGAACCAACAGTTGTGCCAGAATGTTTATTGACGCATCTAGAGATTTTGGAATGGAGACAATATGAAGGCCTGTGCAAGAGAGGAATGTGGCTGCCTACATACTAGCAAACGCTACTTGTCTTAATATGGCGATGTTCTCAACAAGATGTAGAAACAAATACCATCGCATGCTAAAGAAGTTAAAGAAACTGAACAGAGTTTCAGAGACGTGTCAGTTAGTGTTTGAGTAAACTCTTATGTGTGGTGTGTGTCTCTAGAAGGCATGTTTTTTGTTTATTTAATTTCTAATCTCCGGACCTTCTCTAATTAGTGAAAACAGAGCACTTGTTTTGTTTACATATTAGACCAAAAAGTTAGATGTAAGAAAGATTCAATATCTTTGTTAAGAAGATTCAATAATTTTCAGGCATTTCAAAAAGATAATCAGAACAACAAATTCCTAGAAAATTAATAAAATAGATGGGATTTTATCAAAAAGTAGGAAATATGATTTTTTTTTTCTTTTGTGCAAAGTAACATGAAAGACATGTACGAATGTTCACTGCTGATTAATAATCTTTATAATATAATTTGATAAGTCATTCATACTTGTCGCTTTCACTTAAATTTTTTTAAATGGTCAATTGCAAAATTAATCTTAATAAATTATAAATAATTCTTATTACAAAATATTTTTTACTTTCTAATTGGGTTTTAATTTTAATTATATTTTTAAATTAACATAAATAATATATATTTATATATATATATGTGTCAATCTTATATATAACGAACATTAGTTTATTTACTTCATATTTTTATAAACAACATATCTAATACTTAAACACATGGTTTCACAGGAAAATAATATAGGCATTTGTCTTTAAAAAGAAAATATTACATTTTCATATCTAATACTTAGAAACAAAATAAAAGCAACAAAAAATAATCAGTTCTAACCTAATTAGAATAAAATATTTGTTGTTTTATTTTAGATTAATAGATTTTTATTAAAAAAAGTATCTTTAGATGAATATACACTAGTCAATATACCGAAAAATGAGTAACTGAATAAATCATGACTATTATACTCAAAATCAAAAACCTATTTAAGTCAACAATATCAATAATATTAAAAGAGAATAAGTCTAAATAAATCTACTTATACAAGTTGTGTGGATCCTTTCATTAGATTTAACTTTTTATTAGCATTTCCTTAATATATTTATAACAATATGTTACTCAATACCATATATTTATCCGATTTTTATTCTTTCCCCTAACAATACGCGCGATAATATTAATTGATATCGTTAGTTTGTTATGAAAGTCAGGGGGAATAATATTATGGTAACTCGATCCTTCTTATGCATTTCCATGCATGCTGCCTGTCCATATATACTATTTTATTGTTTATTGTCTATACTTCTTGATCAAAATGAATTATATATTTAATTTAGTACAAAATATATATATATATATAATCTTTCCATGATGGAAGTCTAATAATACAATTATCCAAATAAAATATGGTTCAGAATCTTATTATTTTATTATTATTACTTT